ACCAGCAGGGATCCGGTGATTGACAGCCGTGTCACCTACCCGGAAATGCAAAATCTCAAATATATATGTGATTTTGCGCATCCGTGCCTCCCTGTAGCAATATTTTTGCTATAGGGTGATCGGGAAGCGGTTAATCATTATTATACAGGGCACTTTCACCCCCTTCCTGCCAAGGCCAATCTTCAGTTTTTAGCGCTGTTGCATTTTGAATGACAATTGCGCGGTTATGCAACACTGTACCTGTATGAAATTTTTATAATTTTTTTCACATAACTAGAGCTTTCTTTTGGTGGTAGTTAACCACTTGCCCTCCAGAGAATTACCCACCTTCCTGACCAGGCCATTTTATATACTGTGCTGCATTACTTTATCTGACAATTGCGCGGTCATGCAATGCTGCACCAAAATTAAATTTACATCCTTTTTTCCCACAAATAGAGCTTTCTTTCAGTGGTATTTGATCACCTCTGCGTTTTTTATTTATTGCGCTATAAACAAAAAAAAAGACCAAAAATTTTGAAAAAAAAACCCCAGTATATAACCAGTAAAATAATTTAAAAAATCTAATTTTGTCATAAATTTAGGCCAAAATGTATTCTGCTATTTTGCTAAAAAAAAATCCCAATACGTGTAAATAATTGGTTTACGTGAAAGTTATAGCATCTACAAATGGCGTTATATATACTGGGATTTTTTTATTTTTTTTTTTTAATAATGGTGGCGATCAGCAACTTATAGTGGGACTGTGTCGGGGATTCTGACACTGGGGGGAACTGAATTATGCAGGCCATAGACGGGGAGAAAAACGGCCGATTTTTCTTTAAAAAACGAAAAATCGGTCGTTCAAGCGGCCGACGTTACCACCAATGGTAAAAAAAATCGGCTGATTTTCATCCCGTCTACAGCCGGCAAAAAGTGTCCCTGCAGAGAGCTCTGCTATTTCTTTGACAGTTCTTTGACAGTTCCTTGACATTTACAGAGGTTGCAACAATGTATCTATTTGTATCCATTTAGGATACAAATGTTTTTATTCGGAAACAAACAGATACAATGTTGCAACCTCTGTAAATGTCAAGGAACTGTCAAAGAAATAGCAGAGCTCTCTGCAGGGACACTTTTTGCCGGACTGGAATTCCTCTTATTTTTCATCCTTCTTCTTCTTCTCCTTCTTCATCATCATCCTCTTCTTCTTCTTCATCATCATCCTCTTCTTCTTCATCATCATCATCTTCTTCTTCATCATCATCATCTTTTTCTTCATCATCATCATCATCCTCTTCTTCTTTTTCTTCATCATCATCATCCTCTTGTTCTTCTTCTTCTTCTTCACCATCATCATCCTCTTCTTCTTCTTCTTCTACTTCTTCTTCATCATCATCCTCTTCTTCCTCTTCTTCATCATCATCCTCTTCTTCTTCTACTTCTTCTTCCTCTTCTTCATCATCATCCTCTTCTTCTTCTTTTTCTTCATCATCCTCTTCTTCTTCTTCTTCTCTTCTTCATCATCCTCCTCTTCTTCTTCTTCTTCTTCTTTTTCTTCATCATCATCATCATCATCCTCTTCTTCTTCTTTGTCATCATCATCCTCCTCTTCTTCTTCTTCTTCTTCTACTTCTTCATCGTCATCCTCTTCTTCATCATCATCATCATCTCCTCTTCTTCTTCATCATCATCATCATCATCCTCTTCTTCTTCTACTTCTTCTTCCTCTTCTTCATCATCATCCTCTTCTTCTTCTTCATCATCATCATCCTCTTCTTCTCTTCTTCATCATCATCATCATCCTCTTCTTCTTCTTCTTCTTCTTCATCATCATCATCCTCTTCTTCTTCATCATCCTCTTCTTCATCATCATCCTCTTCTTCTTTTTCTTCATTATCATCATCATCCTCTTCTTCATCATCATCCTCCTCTTCTTCTTCTTTCTTCTTCTTCTTCTCTTCTTCATCGTCATCCTCTTCTTCTTCATCATCATCATCATCATCCTCTTCTTCTTCTTCATCATCATCATCATCATCTCTTCTTCTTCTACTTCTTCTTCATCCTCTTCTTCATCATCATCCCTCTTCTTCTTCTTCATCATCATCATCCTCTTCTTCTACTTCTTCTTCATCATCATCATCCTCTTCTTCTTCTTCTTCTTCATCATTATCATCCTCTTCTTCTTCATCATCCTCTTCTTCATCATCATCCTCTTCTTCTTTTTCTTCATTATCATCATCATCCTCTTCTTCATCATCATCCTCTTCTTCTTCATCATCCTCTTCTTCTTCTTCTTCATCATCATCATCCTCTTCTTCTTCTTCTTCATCCTCTTCTTCTTCCTCTTCTTCTTTTTCTTCTTTTTGTCTTCCTCTTGCCGGTCACTGCTCATGCGCAGATTTTTTATTGGTAAAAAATCGGCCGATTAGCCCATTATTACCGCGAAAATCGGCCGATCGGCAAAATCGGCCGATTTTTTTCCAACTTTCTCGATTACAAAAAAAAACGGCCAAAATACCGAAAAATGGCCGAACAAATAGCCCACTAACGATCCGAAAATCGGCCGATTTTATTTTCGGCCCAAAAATCGGCCGATTTTCGACCCATCTATGGCCTGCATTAGTGTCATTGACATCCCCAGTGACACCAATACAGTGATTAGTGCTAATAAAAAGCACCGACACTGTACTAATGGCACTGGGCAGGAAGGGGTTAACATAAGGGCCGATCAATGGGTTAACTGTGGGCTGTTTTACCATGTGGGCTGTGTGTGCTTTACACTGTAAGCACACTGCCTGGAACTGCAAAATCACGTATATATAGAGGTGAAACTCTAAAAATTAGAATATCATGCAAAAGTTCATTTATTTCAGTAATGCAACTTAAAAGGTGAAACTAATATATGAGATAGACTCATTACATGCAAAGAAAGATAGTTCAAGCCGTGATTTGTCATAATTGTGATGATTATGGCTTACAGCTCATGAAAACCCCAAATCCACAATCTCAGAAAATTAGAATATTGTGAAAAGGTGCAATATTCTAGGCTCAAAGTGTCCCACTCTAATCAGCTAATTAAGCCATAACACCTGCAAAGGGTTCCTGAGCCTTTAAATGGTCTCTCAGTCTGGTTCAGTAGGAATCACAATCATGGGAAAAAGACTGCTGACCTGACAGTTGTGCAGAAAACCGTCATTGACACCCTCCATATAAGGAGGGAAAGCCTCAAAAGGTAATTGCAAAAGAAGTTGGATGTTCCCAAAGTGCTGTATCAAAGCACATTAATAGAAAGTTATGTGGAAGGGAAAAGTGTGGAAGAAAAAGGTGCACAAGCAGCAGGGATGACCGCAGCCTGGAGAGGATTGTCAGGAAAAGGCCATTCAAAAGTGGTGGGGTCTTTCACAAGGAGTGGACTGAGGCTGGAGTCAGTGCATCAAGAGCCACCACACACAGACAGATCCTGGACATGGGCTTCAAATGTCGTATTCCTCTTGTCAAGCCGCTCCTGAACAACAAACAACGTCAGAAGCGTCTTACCTGGGCTAAAGAAAAACAGACCTGGTCTGTTGCTCAGTGGTCCAAAGTCCTCTTTTCTGATGAGAGCAACTTTTGCATCTCATTTGGAAACCAAGGACCCAGAGTATGGAGGAAGAAAGGAGAGGCACATGCTGCAAGATGCTTGAAATCCAGTGTGAAGTTTCCGCACTTCATGCTTCCTTCCGCAGACGATCTTTATGGGGATGGGATGCTGACTTCATTTTCCAGCAGGACTTGGCACCTGCCCACACTGCCAAAAGCACCAAAACCTGGTTCAATGACCGTGGGATTACTGTGCTTGATTGCCCAGCAAACTTGCCTGACCTGAACCCCATAGAGAATCTATGGGGCATTGCTAAGAGAAAGATGAGAGACATGAGACCGAACAATACAGAAGAGCTGAAGACTGCTATTGAAGCATCCTGGTCTTCCATAACACCTCAGGAGTGCCACAGGCTGATAGCTTCCATGCCACGCCACATTGAGGCAGTAATTGCTGCAAAAGGGGCTCAAACCAAGTACTGAGTACATAGGCATGCTTATACTTTTCAGAGGTCCGATATTGTTCTATGTACAATCCTTGTTTTATTGATTGCATGTAATATTCTAATTTTCTGAGATTGTAGCTGATTAGAGTGGGACACTTTGAGCCGAGAATATTGCACCTTTTCACAATATTCTAATTTTCTGAGATTGTGGATTTGGGGTTTTCATGAGCTGTAAGCCATAATCATCACAATTATGACAAATCACGGCTTGAACTATCTTGCTTTGCATGTAATGAGTCTATCTCATATATTAGTTTCACCTTTTAAGTTGCATTACTGAAATAAATGAACTTTTGCACAATATTCTAGTTTTTTGAGTTTCACCTGTACATGATGTTGCACACCTGTGCCGCCCTGTTGCAGTATTTCTGCTATAGGGCAGCGCAGAAGCGGTTAATCGCCACTGGGTTTTTTCTTTTATGCTAAATAAATTAAAAAATACCAAAGATTTTTAAAAATAAACACCTTTTTTTTCAATTCTGTTATAACATTTTGCAAATAATCTTTCTGCATACATTTAGGCCAAAGTGTATTCTGCTACTTTTTTTGGATAGCATAGTGGCTAAGCAGGTAGCACTCCTGTCTAGCACCACTAGGGTTGTTGGTTCAAATCCCAGCCACGGCACTACTTGCCTGGAGTTTGCATGTTCTCCCTGTGCCTTTTGTGGGTTTCCTCCCACACTACAAAGACATGCTGGTAGGTTAATTGGTTCCTGCCTAAATTGGCCCTAGTATATGAACATGAGGTAGAGACTTTAGATTATGAGCTTCTTGAGAATTAGGGACTGATGTGAATGTACAATGTTGCATAAATTGATGGCCCTATATAAGTACCTGTGATAAATAAAAATAATTGAAATCAATGTTTATTATTTAGTCTGTAGGAAAGTAGTCCACAAATTATGGTATATATCAGGGGCGGACTGACAACTCATGGGGGCCCCGGGCAATAGGGGATCATGGGGCCCCTGTGTCCTTGCCCAAACTCAAAAAAGCCTATGAAAAAGGTACCAGAGGCATCTCATGGGGCCCCTACTGACCCCGGGCCCTTGGGCAGTGCCCTAGTTTCCAAATGGTCAGTCCGCCCCTGGTATATATACAGTATCTCACAGAAGTGTATTCCATACCTAACTGATCCCTGCGGAAGCCAAGAACTACTGTTGTAGCCACTGCTACTACAGTGATTTTTCAGTCTCCTGGGTCCTGTGACGAGTCCAAGCCTGACCAATATACAGTATCTCCCAGAAGTGAGTACACCCCTCCAGGGGCGGACTGACAACTCATGCGGCCCCCGGGAAATAGGGGATCATGGGGCCCCTGTGTCCTCGCCCACACTCAAACCACACCCAAAAAAGCCTATGAAAGGTACCAGGGACATCTCATGGGGCCCCCTACTGACCCCGGGCCCTCAGGCAGTGCTCGAGTTCCCCAATGGTCAGTCCGCCCCTGCACCCATCACATTTTTGTAAATATTTTATTATATCCTTTCATGTTGCAACACTGAAGAAATGAAACTTTGCTACAATGTAGTGACATTACAACTTGTATAACAGTGTAAATTTGCTGTCCCCTCAAAAATAACTCAATACACAGTCATTAATGTCTAAACCGCTGGCAACAAAAGTGAGTACACCCCTAAGTGAAAATCTCCAAATTGAGCCCAATTAGCCATTTTCCCTCCCCGGTGTCATGTGACTCGTTAGTGTTACAAGGTCTCAGGTGTGAATGGGGAGCAGGTGTGTTAAATTTGGTGTTATCGCTCTCACTCTCTCATACTGGTCACTGTAAGTTCAACATGGCACCTCATGGCAAAGAACTCTCTGAGGATCTGAGAAAAAGAATTGTTGCTCTACATAAAGATGGCCTAGGCTATAAGAAGATTGCCAAGACACTGAAACTGAGCTGCAGCACGGTGGCCAAGACCATACAGCGGTTTAACAAGACAGGTTCCACTCAGAACAGGTCTCGCCATGGTCGACCAAAGAAGTTGAGTGCACATGCTCAGCGTCATATCCAGAGGTTGTCTTTGGGAAATAGACGTATGAGTGCTGCCAGCATTGCTGCAGACGTTGAAGGGGGGGGGGGGGTCAGCCTGTCAGTGCTCAGTCCATACGCCATACACTGCATCAAATTGGTTTACATGGCTGCCATCTCAGAAGGAAGCCTCTTCTAAAGATGATGCACAAGAATAGAGAAACAGTTTGCTGAAGACAAGCAGACTAAGGTCATGGATTACTGGAACCATGTCCTTTGGTCTGGTGAGACCAAGACAAGCTTATTTGGTTCAGATGGTGTCAAAGGAGTGTGGCGGCAACCAGGTGAGGAATACAAAGACAAGTGTGGTTTGCCTACAGTCAAGCTACAGTCATGGTGGTGGGAGTGTCATGGTCTGGGGCTGTATGAGTGCTGCCGGCACTGGGGGAGCTACAGTTCATTGAGGGAACCATGAATTCTAACATGTACTGTGACATACTGAAGCAGAGCATGATCCCCTCCCTTCGGAGACTGGGCTGCAGGGCTGTATTCCAACATTATAACGACCCCAAACACACCTCCAAGATGACCAATGCCTTGCTAAAGAAGCTGTGGATAAAGGTGATGGACTGGCCAAGCATGTCTCCAGACCTAAACCCTATTGAGCATCTGTGGGGCATCCTCAAATGGAAGGTGGAGGAGCACTAGGTCTCTAACATCCACCAGCTCCGTGATGTCATCATGGAGGAGTGGAAGAGGACTGCAGTGGCAACCTCTGAAGCTCTGGTGAACTCCATGCCCAAAAGGGGTGGAAAATAATGGTGGCCACACAAAATATTGACACTTTGGGCTCAATTTGGACATTATCACTTAGGGGTATACTCACTCGTGTTGCCAGCGGTTTAGACATTAATGGCTGTGTTGAGTTATTTTGAGGGGACAGCAAATTTACACTGTTATACAAGCTGTACACTCACTACTTTACATTGTACCAAAGTGTCATTTCTTCAGTGTTGTCACATGAAAAGATATAATAAAACATTTACAAAAATGTGTGGGGTGTACTCACTTCTGTGAGATACTGTACATATATGTGAAATGCCCTCTAGTGTAAGATTTTTTTTAGAGGCTTGCTGGAAGCCTGGGTATGAGTCAGCCTAGGAATGAGTCAGCAAGGTTATTTCAGTTTAAAGGATAAGTTCACATTTCAGACCATGTTAAATGTTACACCCATATCCAGAGTGTAACATGTTACGAAAAGACCAGCTCCCGCTCCCCTGCATTGACAGCTGTGCGGGGCTTTAGCAGCTGTTGGTTTGTAGTTCTCAATGAACTACCACAGCGCTGTAGCTCATTGAGTCTTCCTGTCAATATATCTGCTGGGCCGTACATCTCGTACGAGCCAGCAGATATACTGACAGGTCTGCAGGAGACCTGCATAGCACCAGCGATCTGTTGATCACTGGTGCAATGGTTTACAGGCTCATGAAACAAAAAATAACTAATGCACATATTTTTACCTGCATTTATTATTTATTAATTTTTTTGCAAAATGTCAACTTACCCTTTAAGGCTGGAGAGCTCTGCTGATCAGTTCTTTGATACCTCCTTCTGCTCCAGAAATTTGGAGAAGTTTATATAAGCTATGGGTGGGGGGTGAGGAGGGGCTGATCTGCATACTTAGGACAATCTGGCCAATTCCCAAGCAGGAGGTTTGGCATGGTGGCTAGATCAGCCCTTAAATATGAGAGCCTGGTCAGCAGGGAAGTCAGGTGGAACATGGAATGAGGAAGTTCTACTGGTGTGGAGCCTCTGAGGGGGCCCCAAAGGAAGGGGTCTGCCTACAGGCTGGAAGCTGGAATGAAGGACCTCCACTGTCACACAGTTTACCGGAGAACGACAGCCTGTCAGCAGGGAAGGAACCAGCCCAGCGTGATGCCTGGTAGCAGTTTCAACCTTTAAGCTACAGGAACAGAACAGGTGAGTATTTCTACACTCCCCGGGCCAAAGAAGAGAGAGGGTGGTCAGGTGCAATACCCAACTAGTTTTCCCTGGGACTACATTATTTGTGTGTCTTGGAATCCCTTGCCCTGGGATACTCTTAAGACAGCCAGGTGGATGAAGAGATTTTCATCTGATGCCCCAACAAAAAGCCGAGATCTATTTGAAGGGTCTGTTGAAAAAATTGATAGACTTCAAAAAAGGGCGTTTGATAGTTGCAGGAGATTTAAATCTTTGTATGGATCCACAAAAGGATACAACCTCCCTTGTGCAGAGAGAAGGTGGTAGGTCTCTGAGAGCTTTGAAAAAAGCGAGCCACGAGTACCAACTGGTGGACACTTAGAGAATAATGCATATGAAAGACAGAGACTATACCTTCTTCTCTAATGCACATGAGATATACTCGAGACTGGATTATATTTTAATAGATCATCAACTCATAGATCTATTGGTTAAAATAGAAATAGAGATGAGTACATTCTCGGATCATGCCCCTGTCATAATGAAAATGGGATGGGGTAGATGGTGGATGGGAGGCCTAGGTTGGAGGTTAAATGAGGCCCTTCTTTTAGATGAGGATATAGCTCAGAGGATTGGGGAAGAGATCAAGATATATTTTAAGGAGAATGAGACAGAGGAAGTATCGACAGCCACAGTATGGGAAAGCCACAAGGTATATATAAGAGGAATCCTGATTGCGATGGGAGCCAGGAAGAGAAGAGAAAGAAAAGAGAGAGGGTTAGTGGGCTCTTAAAAGAAATCCTGGATTTGGAGCAGATACAAAAGAAGAAAATAATAAGAGAAACGAGACAGAAGTTAATGGATAAAAAAGATGAGCTAGAGAGACTGATGGATGAGGAGAGGAGAAGAGTATATAATAAAGTATTAAGTGAAAGATATAGATGGGGAGACAGACCAGGAAAATACTTAATGAGAGCTCTGAATAAAAAGAAAAATAGAAATTATATAGAAAAGATAAAAAATCCTAAGGGGGAGTTGGTTCACTCAGCTAAAGAGATTATTAAAGTGTTTACGGAGTACTATAGAAAGTTGTATAACATTAGTCCCCCAGGCTCTCCAAAAGAAAATGGAGAGGATATTAACAAAAAAAGGATGATCTATTTAAAAAAAACGCAGGATTACCAAAGTTAAGTGAAGTACAACAACTGAACTCCTTGGATGCGGAAATTTCCCAGAACGAAATAAAAGCAGCATTAAGAAGTACAGGGGGTGGAAAAAGTCCAGGACCGGATGGGTATACAGTAAAGTACTATAAAAAATATAGTGAAATATTGTTACCTAAGCTGAAGAAGTATATGAACGATCTGGGAGGAGAGATGGAGGGGAGAAGAGAATCTCTCCAGGCCCATTTTGTACTCATTCACAAGGAGGGAAAAGATCCTTCTCAGTATTCCAGCTATAGACCAATTTCATTATTGAACATCGATACTAAGTTGTACGCAAAGGTTCTAGCAAATAGGCTGAAAGATCTAATGTCTGAATGGATACATGGAGATCAGGTGGGCTTTGTCCCAGGAAGAGAGGGTAGAGATAACGGGTTGAGAACTCTGATGCTTATTCAGAAAAGTAGAAAAGGGAAAGCCCCGGTGGTACTATTGTCGATTGATGCTGAAAAGGCGTTCGATAGAGTGGATTGGGGCTTCATGATGGACAACTTAGAAGCGTTGGGGATTGGAGAGAGAATGCGGGAGTGGATAGGTAAATTATATAGGGAGCCCACCGCAATTATTACGGTAAATGGGGAGAGATCGGAATCCATTGGGATGTCCAATGGAACAAGACAGGGCTGCCCACTGTCCCCCCTGTTGTATGTTTTGCCATTGGAACCCCTGTTGTCAACCATAAGGAATAACGGAGCGGTAAAGGGAATCCAGATAGAAAATATAGAACACAAAGTAGCGGCCTATGCGGATGACTTATTGTTTTATGTAGGCAACCCCCGAATAACATTACCAAACATAATGATGATCTTGAAGGAATATGGTGAACTATCAAATTTAAAAATGAATCCAACAAAAACAGAGATCTTGAATATCAACATATTAAAGAGTGAAAAGGAAAAGCTTCAAAAAGAATTCCCCTTTATATGGAGAGAAAAAGATTTAAAATACCTAGGAATAAAACTCGCTATTTCATATAAACAACTGTATAGATTAAACTATATTTCTTTGATAAATGAGACCAAGGAAGAATTAAAAATATTAGAAGGAGGAAACCCATCATGGATAGGACGTATAAACCTAGTTAAAATGGTAATCATACCTAAAATACTGTATAAATTCCAAATGGTTCCAATCAAACTCCCAGAGGCTTTTTTTAAGATAATAAAAAAAATGTTAACAAGATATATCTGGAGGAATAAAAAACCAAGAATATCATACGAAACACTGAGTAGGACTAAAGAGAAAGGGGGAATGGGTTTACCTGATGTCAAGAGATACTATAAAGCAGTAATCTTAGCAAGAATTTACGATTGGACATTCAACCATAAGGGGAAGAGTTGGGTAAAAATTGAAAATGAACTGAGTGGGATTAGTTTGAGTAAGATGATATGGGTCCCAGCACATTTTAGAAGAATTAAAGAATG